GAGACTTCTGGTCCTTCTAGGTTTTATAGATGTTCTTTGGTGATGTGAGACCTTTACTAGTTAATGTGGAGTATGCACAAAGCAAATGTACTTCACAGGGCCTGGTTTTCCAAAGCCTTGCAGTTTCAAATATTGACCTTGCAAAGGACAGGAAATTTTCCCCAGGCTATAGTCTCTGTTGTAAGATAAAGAATTGTAATGCAGCAAGTTTGCTGGCTCAAAGACAGACAGGTTACTGATTGATATGTAAAGATACTGGGAAATTGCTGTGAGAAGAAAATGTTTGCTAAAATCAAGCTTTTGTTGCAAATTGCGTTATAGAATGTCACCTTACTTGTTCTACTAAATGTTACCAGCTTCTATTGTTAAACTTGTTAAACTGTACTTAGAAAAAATCCCACCTAAGTTCTCTTCCTGTAACTTCCTGGTCGGGAGAATAAATTCAGGAAAAGAACCCCAATTCGTGGTTAATTACCCAAATGGAAGGAATGCCTCTATCTTGGGGGTTCCAGGTGATTAACCCCTTTTGGGGGCTTCTCACTGCTCAGAAGAGATGAGCTTTGAGTAATCTTTGACACCTCCATCACCCAAGGGAAAAGGGGTGACAAATCCGTGGGAGGCAAAGCAACAAGTTAGTATCAAACTTTGTCTCTTTTCTGTGGGTATTTTGTTTTTTCTTTCAGTTCTATGTTGAATTATTTGCTGTTCCTACCACTTAAACTTTGCACTGGAACTAATTAGTTGTCCTTTACTTACTTCTAAAATGGGAGGACTTCCTGTGGCAACCAGCACTTGAGCTCTGTAGTTGAGCTATGCTAAATTGCTGCTTTGCTGCTGTGTTGCTTTGCCTTCCACGGATTTGTCACCCCTTTTCCCCTGGATGATGGAGCCACAAAGGATTAATCAAAGCCCATCTCTTCTGAGCAGTGAGAAGCCCTGAAATGGTTAATTTCCCAGAACCCTCAAGAGAGAGGCATTTCTTTCATTTGGGAAATTAACCACAAATTGGGGTTCTCTTCCTCATTTATTCTCCAGCCCAGGAAGTTACAGTAAGAAACATAGGTGCACTTACAGTTTTAACAAGTTTAACAATAGAAGCTGGTAACATTCAGTAAAAACAAGTCAGATGACATTCCGTTAGGCAATTAAGTGATCCACCAACAAAAGCTTGATCTTAGCAAACATTTTCTTCTTACAGCAATTTCCCAGTATCTTTACATATCAATCAGTAACCTGTCTGTCTTTGAGCCAGCAACCTTGCTGCATTACAATTCTTTATCTTACAACAGAGACTCAACAGCCAGGGGAAATTTTCCTGTATTTTGTAAGGTCAATATTTGAAACTGTAAAGCTTTGGAAAACCAGGCCCTGTGAAATATATTTGCTTTATAGTATACTCCACACTACTGACTCCCTGGGGAAAGCTTTTTGTGCAGCTCAGGTTTTAATGGTTGACTTTATAGGTACTTCCTGCTCTCATGAGATCCAGTACACCTGGGTTGTGTAGAAACTCTGGTCTGGGCCTGAGTCTTTTCAGTAAACTGCACCCCCTGCAGTTCTATGTTCCTGACCAGTCTCTTTTGAGTGGTCCTGCACTGATTGGGGGGCACATCAGCTGTCTTTGCTATTCCCTAGTGTTCTCCCAGTGGGTCCATCTCCCCTACCACCTGTGCTCCAAAGACTTCCCATGGGACAGGCTGTGCACCAGTCCCTTGCGATGACTCACCTGCCTCTGAGTAGCTCCTTTTTTTTTCAGTCATTGTGGCTCTATGGGAACCCTATTAGTAGTCTTGCTAGCCTGGGTGCCACCAAGGCCCTCTTCTCCCCTGCAGCCACGAAGCAACTTCATCTGAAGGGCACAGCTGCAGCTTTTGCCAGGTCCTGTTCTGTGCACTCACCAGCTCCAGCATTGAAGTGGCCAGGATTCAAAATGGTAGGAATGGTCCTTTCTTTCTCTTTTTGTGGCCTCTCCTGCCTTCATGCACTCCACAGGTCTCTCCTCCTCTTCCCCTGAGCTCTAGCAGCCCCAGCTTAGCTGTCTTTGCTTTTCAATAGTTGTAAATTGGTTGATTTGTGGGAGAGAGTGATGCTGGGGATCATCTATTCTGCCATCTTGACCCAAAGCCCAACACATAGACATTTTAATCCATGCTTTGTCTTCCAACTGTTGAAAGAGTCATTGACACAGAGAGATCGTTCACTACTATACAATAAACAGAATAGACAAGATACATGTCAAACCACATTTGTGCCAGTGTAGAAAAGACAACGTGGTGAAATGAGCTTTGGAGAACTTTAGAGAAGGTATCTTAAGTATAGAGCATCCTCTACTTAGATATACCAGTTGTTTCCAAGCAAATATATGGACCGAGGGCATTCAGACCTCCTACTTTTCCAATCTATGTTTTTATGTAAAATTGTTTTATGGATTTTTGTTCATTACTTTTAAAATTTATTTCTTACAATACCTTATGTCTCATATTTCAAACCATTCTTTATATGCCAAAACATGTTTTTTTAAATACTGTGTTATTATTGGAGGTAAGATATCTATACTCTGGAAATATTCTTAATCTGGAATAGATCAAGTTTCAGACATTGAATAAACAATGTCCTGCTATGTTTTTAGAAACGCTTCCGAACATTTGTCACATAAAGAAACTTAGCAAACTTCAGAGAATGAAACTTCCTTCACTTGGTAAAGATTATACATCAAAAACCTTCAGAAAATTGTGTCATGGAAAAACTTCAGACATATCCCCCTTTAAAATCAGGAACAAAAATCGATATTAATAGGCAAAAAAAAAAAAAAAAGAAAGAAAAAAGAAACAAAAATAAATAAAATCAGGAACAAGAAAAAGACAACCTCTAGCACTGCTGCTTTTTTTTTTTTTTAAAGTATTAGAAGATATTTATTCTTGACTTTTCCTCCCATGTTTGAGAGAAAACTCATGATCATTTGGCGTTTTGGCTTCATTTTTCTAACATGATAATAGCCAGTCTCTTATACAAATTCTCTTTTTAGAAATCATTTGGAAAAGACTGTGTCATGGTCCATAGCCTACTGTTCTTTTTCTTCTTCTTCTTGTATTGTGGTGAAATATGTATAACAAAATTTGTCATTTTAATCATTTTCAAGTGTGCAGTTCATTCGTATTAAGTATATTCACATTGTTGTGCAACCATCACTACCATCCATCTCCAGAACTTTTCCATCATCCCATACTGAAACTCCATACCCATTAAACAATACCTGCCCAGCCCTCCCTTCCTCCAGCCCGCAGTAACCATTATTCTACTTTCATTCTACTTTCTGTATCTACAATTTGACTATTCTAGGTACCTCATATAGGTGAAATCATACAATATTTGTCCTTCTGTGTCTGGCTTATTTCACTTGGGATAATTCCTCCAAAATTCATTCATGTTGTTACATGTGTCAGAACTTTGATCCTTTCTTATGACTGAGTAATATTCTATTGTATGTATATACACTTGTTTATTCATTCATCTGTTCATGGACATTTGGGTTGCTTCCACCTCTTGGTTATTGCCAATAATGCTGCAGTGAACATTAGAATACAAGTGTCTGTTTGTCTCTGCTTTCAAATTCTTTGAGTACATCTGTAAGAGTAAATATGCTACCTAATGTGTTAATTCTGTTTGGCTTTTCGAGGAAAAAAAACTAAACTCTTTCATAGCAGCTGTATCATTTTTTATATTTTCACCAGCAATACACAGGGTTCCAATTTCTCCACATTCTTGCCAACATTTATTATTTCCTGTGTTGTTAAAAAAGTAATAGTCATCCTAATGGATGTGAAGTGGTATCACCTTGTGATTTTGGTTTGCATTTCCATGATTAACGATTTTGAACATCTTTTTATGTGCTTCATGGCCATTTGTATCTTCTTTAGAGAAATGTTTATTCAAATTCTTTGCCAACTTTTGAATTGGGTTATTTGGTTTTTTTGTTGTTCAGTTGTAGGAGTTCTTTATATATTCTGGATATTAATCTCTTAACAGACATGTGATTTGCAAATATTTTCTCCCATTCTGTGGGTTGCCTTTTTACTCTATCAACAGTGTCCTTTTATGCATGTTTTTCATATTTATGAAGTCTGATTTGTCTATGTTTTCTTTCATTGCCTGTTTTTGGTGTCATGTCCATGAAATGTGCCAAAACCAATGTTATGAAGCTCCCCCCATGTTTTCTTCTATTCTATAGTTTTTTCTTTTATATTTAGGTCTTCGTCCAATTTTGAGTTCATCTTTATATACGGCACTAGGTAAGGGTCTAACTTCATTCTTTTCATCTAGATATCTAGTTTTTCCTGCACCATTTGTTGAAAAGACTGACCTTTCCCTAAGAATGGTCTCTTTCCATATGTTCAAAAAAGACAAGAAAACCAAAATACTTGAAAACACTGTGCTAGCGAAAACAAAACAGGTTTAGGCTAGATTTTGGCCCATAGGCCACCAATCTACAAATGTGCCTTTAACTTCATTTTCACATTAAATGTTCCAAATGAGCTAGGAAGAGCAAGAGAGACTTACTGTGGCCTACTACGTTCCAAGCATTGTACAAGGTACTGGTGTTAAACTTGTCAAAAAGGTTAAGCGTTAAGGTCCTAGCGTCAAAGAGTTTAAAGGTGAGTAAGAAGACTCCAGTATAGACCATTTTATTTTAGTACTATGTGAGTAAACGCTTATAAATATGGGGCCAAAGCAGAGAGTAGGTTAAGGGAAGACGATTAGAAAGGATTTTAAAAATACATGGGGGACAGGAACAAACACAAGTACAAGCCCCAAGCTAGCCGAGAAAATTTTCTGCCAGGGCCCAGCCCCGGACTGACATGTGTCTTTTAAACCCCGCTGCTTTCAACCGAGAGGTCTTTCTCCGGGTGGCGTGACGTCACAAGGCAGCGCCGGTAGGGAGGGGGCGGGATTTCCGGTTGCGCCCTAGCACTGTCGGATACTGCCCTGGGTCGGCAGTTGGCACCGTGTGGACTTCGGCTAAGCTGCAGTGCGGGTACCTGGGCGGCGTTTCCCGGCGGAGTCCTTCGGCCTTCGTAGTTCTTTTACTTTGCGCCTGCGGGAGCCGTTGTCCTTGCACTTCTGGTATGCGCATGTTTCTTTTTTTTCCCAGTGTGTGTTGGGGTAGGAGGACGCGGGAGACGTTGCAAGATGCACTCAGTAGAGCATGCGCGCCAAGGCCCACAGAAAAGAGAAAGCTCAGTGATTTAATAAACTATAAGTAATACAGTACTTGAAACAAGAGCAGTGTTTCCCAAAATAATAACCTTGATCGCTTTTTTTGAGTTTTTATTTCTATGATATTCCGAAAGTCTTTACCAGTTACAAAGACAAAACTCAATTTAAAAGACTTTTGTTTCTGAAATCAGTGTTTACCAAATTGAGGCCTAAGGGCCCCAGGTTAAATGTTTCTGAGAGTCTAAATTGTTTTCTCTTTATTTATTTATTTAAAAGATGGCCGGTAAGGGGATCTTAACCCTTGACTTGGTGTTGTCAGTGCCACGCTCACCCAGTGAGCAAACCGGCCATCCCTATATGGGGTCTGAACCCGTGGCCTTGGTGTTATCAGCACCACACTCTCCCGAGTGAGCCACAGGCCGGCCCATAAATTGTTTTCTCTTTAAAGGGAGTCTGAACATTTTTTTAATGTGGGAAGCATTGATCAAGGTATTTATTCGAAAAATAGTAGAATGATTACTGTGAGCCAAATGCTGCCGACTGTTATGGACACTAGATAGTCCTTACCATCTAGTGGGGCAAAATAGGTAAGCAGGCAATTACAATATAGTGTTACAAGTACTATCACAGGTACAGGGTGCTATGAGACGTATGGAGGAATACTTGGTCTAAAGTATGAAATGAAAAATAGCTAGAGATGCGGCTGAAAAAGTAAGCGAAGGGTGATATCATGAAAAACTTTGTAAGCCACATTAACAAGTTTTGACTTTAACCTGGCAGCAACATTGGCCAGTTAGCTCAGTTGGTTAGAGTGTGATGTCGGTAACACCAAGATCCAGCGTTGGATCCCTGTTACCGGCCAACCGAAAAAACAAAAAACAAATTAGGAACCATATGAATGCCACTGAGCAGATTTGCACTGACTCTAATGGCTTAGAGATAGGGGAGAGCAAATCTGTAGGCTTGGTGATGCAGTTAAGAAAATAGGGTTGAGGGCCAGCCCGTGGCTCACTTGGGAGAGTGCGGTGCTGATGACACCAGGGCCACGGGTTCAGATCCCGATACAGGGATGGCCAGTTCGCTCACGTGGGAGAGCGTGGTGCTGACAACACCAAGTCAAGGGTTAGGATCCCCTTACCGGTCATCTTAAAAAAAAAAAAAAAAAAGGAAAGGAAAAAGAAAATGGGGTTGAAGAGAAGTAAATAGATTAAAATATTTAGAAAGTAAAATGAATATAATTCACATGGATTCGATATGATGGATGTGACAGAAAACATTCGATATGATGGAAGTGACTCCTAGTTTCTTGCTGTAACAGCTGGATGGATAGCAGTATTCCTCTCTGAAATAGAACACAGAAGGTGTAGCCGGTTGGGAAAGAAAGGGAGAGAGATTATTTCAACTTGTTGCATTTGAGGTGTCTTTCTGGTGCATAGTGATTGGAGCCCCAGAAGTAGATCAGATCTCACAGAGAAAATATATGAGTATAGATTGAAAATAGGGATAAGGACAGAACACAGAGTCACATCCACCTTTAAGGGAGGGGAGCAGCAGGGCATCAGTGCACATGTCAAAGAGGCAGGAGACCTGGGAGCATGCATGGTCATTGAATGAAGCCAAGGGAAGAAGGAAATTTTCTTTTCAAATGTTGGAGTTGCATTTTGTAAAAATTTTAATTTTTTTTTTCCTTCAAATTTTACACTGGTTTCACATCTTTAAGCATCATCATCATCATCATCTTGTGGACATCCAAAACTTTAGGGTAAAATATATTTGTTAGGATTTTGGACATTTCGTTTGGCAATAACATTATTTGCTACAAAATAAAGTCTGATTGGGTTGATTTTGGTTTTTTTTTTTTTTTTTTTTTTTTTAATCTCTATATATTTCTGTTTTGAAAACATGAGGGCATCGATACAGCAGCTCCCAAGTGCTTTTTACTAATTACCATCTTCTGTTTGGGTTGATTTTTTTTTTTTTTTTTTTTTTTTTTTTTTTAATCTCTATATATTTCTGTTTTGAAAACATGAGGGCATCGATACAGCAGCTCCCAAGTGCTTTTTACTAATTACCATCTTCTGTAACTTTTCTGTTCTTTGTGTGTTGCTTTTGTGAAAGATCTTGTTTGGGTCTGTGTCTGGACTCACTGTAGAATGGAGGAGAATATAGTGTGATCTTAGCTGCATTGGTGATACATAACTTTGTTTTCCAGTAACATCAATCCTCTAGGCCCCTAGGTACAAATCTAAAAAGGATCTTCAAGTTATCCTTTTGCCTAAAGCAATGGTGAAATACATGTTTAAAATAAGAACCCAAATAAGTTTTAAACTTTTTGCCCAATGCGTCATCGCAGGCTTTAGGCCACAGGAATCTAGGAAAAATTAATGGTGCAGCACATAAGGTTGTATGGAGATAACTTTGTGTTTCAGAAATTGATTCATTTTGGTATCTCAAATTTATACTTGCACAGTTAGTTGGGAAGATTTAAAACTCTTTGTCTAACTTTTACTTGCATTTTCTTCTTTTACAGAGTTTTCTTATATGTCTATTTTCCTCAAGATGAGTGTTAATGTTACTTTCTTAAGACCTTTTACCCGGTTTTTGGTGCCATTTACCATTCATACAGAGAGAAGGAATTTATATTCAAGAATTCTGCAGAGATACATGTCTTCCAAAATACCAACTTTGTCCTACCCTAATAAGGAGAGTACATCCCCTCCTGATCAGCTAGAATTGGATGGGTGGAAAACTACAATGAAATCTAGTGTGCAAGAAGATGTTTCAACAGTCTCAAGCAGCAAGGATGAAGATCCTCTAGCAGCCACCAGAGAGTTAATTGAGATGTGGAGATTGCTTGGCAGAGAAGTACCAGAACATATCACTGAAGAAGAGCTCAAAACCATTATGGAATGTGCTTCTAAGTCATCAAAAAAAAAATATTTAAAATATTTATATGTTAGGGAAAAAATGAAAAAAGCTAAGCAAATAAAAAAGGAAATGAAAGCAGCTGCAAGGGAAGAAGTAAAAAAAGCCAAGCAGCTAGAAACCACTGAGGAAGATAAACAGCGAAACTTTCTATTTTTACGACTTTGGGAAAGGAATATGAACATTGCAATGGGCTGGAAGGGTATCCAGGCCATGCAGTTTGGGCAACCTTTGGTTTTTGACATGGCTTATGATAATTATATGAAACGACAAGAACTGCACAATACTGTTTCCCAACTTTTAGAAAGTGAAGGATGGAACAGAAGAAATGTTGATCCTTTCCATATTTATTTTTGCAATCTTAAAGTAGATGGTGTTTATTACAGAGAGTTAGCTAAACGTTATGGAGAAAAATGGGACAAATTGCTTATAACAACAACAGAAAAGTCTCATGTAGATTTATTTCCAAAGGACAGTATTATATATTTAACTGCAGATTCTCCCAATGTTATGACTACTTTCAAGCATGACAAAATCTATGTAGTTGGCTCTTTTGTTGATAAGAATATGCAGCCAGGCACATCCCTAGCCAATGCAAAACGGCTGAAGCTGGCAACAGAATGCCTTCCATTAGATAAATATTTACAATGGGACATTGGTAACAAAAATCTCACCTTAGATCAAATGATGCGTATTTTGTTATGTCTGAAAAACAATGGTAGTTGGGAAGAGGCTCTAACGTTTGTTCCCAGGAGGAAACATACTGGTTTTCTGGAGATTTCTCAGCACTCTCAAGAGTTTCTCCACAGATTGAAGATAGCAAAGACTTTTCCAAAAGGTCCTCTAAATGTACATGGCTTGAATGAGAAAATTTGATAGCTTACAAAGTAAATGGATTAGGAATACTCGTACAGTTCTATCAGTATATTTCTTCCTTAATAGAATTTATTCTCTTTCTTTTAAACGTAGTCTTTCCAAACTAATTGCAGGGTTCTGTCTTTTCCCAATTAATTAAATATCTGCAAAACTTTGGGAATGTATTTTGTTTACTGTAAAAAGACACTTAATCTGAAAAAGTAAAGAGTTGTCCAAGTTTGTTTAACAGAATAATCTTTAAATGAACCTAGTAAAACTGTTGTACTGTAGGTGTGACTTTTTAATGGATTCTTTGATTCTCAGACTCTGTTTTCCTTTTTAAATGTTCTTTTATCCATGTCAACAACTATCCTTTCGTAAAAAGTTAATATAGAAAAGATTGCTAAATTTAAGTAGTGGTTCACTTATTAAAGTAAAGCATTAGTACAATGCTGAGGATGTCATGGCTTTAAGGTATATTGTTTAACTGAATGATGGTTAACAAAAGGCAAACACATCCCTTGGTACATTATGGGATTTGGCTGTACTATGAAAAATATGTGGGGATAAAGCTGATTTTTTGTCCTTTTATTTTTAAAAAAAGGGGTTTATTTGGTTAATGTTGCATGTAGTACTTTGCCTATTGTAGTGCAGATAGCTTTCCTTTTCTATGAAATATTTGTTTCTTTAGTCATGTGGTTTGAATGGAAGCTGCCATATTTTTACAGACTTTGCTGCCCTGGCCACAGCTGATTATCCTAAAAGAGACACCTCCCCATGCTAAGCTAGTCATAGTACCCATTCTCCCCTGGCCAATTGATCAGTGTAGGGATGGGCATCTGACTTTAAGATAGGCCAGTCAGAACCCTTTTCCAAGATTTTTGGTTTTGAGAACTAAGATGGCCTACATCCGTTCCTTTCTCATGTTGTACTTGCATAGACAGGAAGCTGTAGTATTGTGGCCATGCCTTTTACTGTGAAGTAAGCCAGACTATAGTAAGAGAGGGAGAAGCTTACTTAAATAAGACCAATTTCTAGGGCTGGCCTGTTGGCTTAGTTGGTTAGACTACAGCCTTGTAATACCAAGGTCAAGGGTTTCAAACCCTTACTGGCCAGCCACCAAAAAAAAAAAAAGACCAATTTCTAAAACTGCACACTCCTGGTTGCAGTTACCTCTGATGTCGAGCTATAGATTTGCCTTTTGCATTTATTGGTTGTTCAAACCTCATGAGATACCTTGGTATCCTTCTAATAATTGCTCTTTTTTGCCTAAGCCCATTGGGTTGATTTGGGTTTCTGCCACTTGCTATCAGATGAGTCCTAATGTACGTGTATACTTGTATCCTAAGAAATGAACTTTATCTTTTTTGAGGGGGCAGCTAGCCTGTACGGAGGACCTAATCTTTTACCAAGTACTACCAAGTACCTGCTTTGTGCCAAACAGTGCAGTGTGCAATTTACATGAGTTATTTAAACAACTCTAAGTTGTAGATACTATCATTTACATCTTTTTTTACAGATGAGGAAAACTGCCCTTTTTACATAAAAGGAAATTTTTTTTCAAAATAATTCAGCTATTTGGGAAGTGATAGGTTGGGTAAAGGGCATAAAGAAATATGATTTGTAAGAAGGAATATGCTAATAATAAAAATTAAAAATAAAAAATTATCAACTTTTGTAACAATGGATATGTTAATTACCCTAATTTGATCATCACACATTGCATACTTGTATTGATATTCAACTCTGTACCCCACAAATATGTATAATTAACAAATTTCAATTAAAAAAATTTTAAATAAAAAGAAAATAACCAAATTCAAAAAAAAAAAGCCAAAAACAATTCAGCCTTTAAGTATAGACTCAGAATTCAAAGTTTTAGAGTCCCAGTTTTTAAACTATACTCATCTTAACCCCAATTTGTGGGATCAGGAAAGTCCTTGAGAAAGTGATTTGTAAATTTAGACCTGACGATGAGAAGTGTGATATGAATTTCAACTGTTAGGCCCTACTAAATAGCAAGATGCTAGTACTTTAACCACTTGAGGTATACTGAAGAAAAAGCATAATGGTTAAGAGGTTACGATTGGCTGCCACAATGGGGGCTAGAATGAAGTAAGCAATGCTCCTAGGTTACCTCGTGTGTCCCTAGTCCCAGCTCTGTGCCATGGGTTCCTGCTCTACCTTTATAGGCTATTGACACTGTGTAAATTGCTTAATTTCTTGAAATTTCAGTTTTCCACATCTGTAAAGGGAGATTATAAACAGTTCTTGAAACAAAACATTTAATATGGTGTCTGGCAACTAAGTATTCAGTAAATATTAACTAATTTTCTAAATCAGATTATGGAATTCAAATGTATGGAATTTCTCTTACTAGTATATACAAGTTATTGTTTCCCTTTGAGGAGTACATTTTTAGTTCTTTCCATGTAACAATATGCTAAGGTATTTCAGTGATGAAAACCCTAGAATTTTGAAAAATCAAAAACTATTTTCCTTTCAAATAGCCAAGCAGTAATTGATTTCCAAGACTCCTTCACTCTTACGTAGGTAAATCACAACAACAAGCTCATTCACAGTTTGAAATGATGCTGCTTTAAGTTGACCAAATTTTTGGAATTTGGAACTTAGAGCCTGAATGATACTTCTGGTATCCTAGGCAGTAACTAGGAGTTAATGGCTTTTTCCTCTTATCTCCAACACTCAATGATTTGCTCTAGAAGCTGTTCTCCCTCTTTGAAGATCACTATTTTTGCCTGTGTTCTAATTGTCTTCCCTTCTTGCATGTTGGAGACATGTTTTCATAGAACACCATTTCTACTTCTTTCCTTTTGCTGTTTTCAAACACGGCTGGCAACTTCCTAGCTTTTACTAATTAAAAATGATTTTAACAGAAAGAAAAGCCTTTACTTTACTTGCCCTACTACTGTTACCAGTTTGATAGCTAAGCCAGATTCTTCAAGCAAGTATTCAGAACACATTGTCCATTTCCTCTATATCAGTGCTGTCCAGTAGGATAATGCAATCCACATACGTACTTTTTTATTGTAAACTGATAATTTATAATTGTATATATTTCATGGGGTACGAAATGAGGCACACTGTGTTTTTAAATTCCTAGTAGCCACATTAAAAATAAGCAAGCGAAATTAACTTTTTTTGTGGGTGTGTGTCTTTTGTCTTTTTTCCGTGTCCGGCAACGGATCGCAACCCTCAGTGTTGCCCCCGTACCGGACCGGGGACCGGCAACGGGATTGCAACCCTCGGTGTTGCTCCCGCGCCTCGCTCAACCAGTGAGCGGGAACCGGTCTGTATGTGGGATCCGAACCCTCGGGCAGGAGCGCCGCCGCGCTTCCCAAGCGGGGCACTATCCAGTGCGCCACCGGGCCGGCCCCAGCGAAATTAACTTTAATACAGCTTATTTAACCCAATATGTCCACACTATTGTCACTTGAATTTGTAATTGGTATAAAAACAGATTATGAGCTGGCCTTGGCTCACTTGGGAGAGCAGGTGCTAATAACACCAAGGTCAAGGGTTCGGATCTCCATTTGTGCCAGCCACCTCCCAAAAAACAAAAAACGGATTTTACATTCCTTTTTTACACTAAGCCTTCAAAATCTAATGTGCATTTTATTAATTACTGCAGATCTAAATGCTAAGTTTTTTTTTTTTTTTTTTTGGCAGCTAGCTGGTGCAGGGATCCAAACCCTGGACCTTGGCGTTATAACACCATACTCTAACCAACTGAGCCAATCCACCAGTCCTGCTTCAGTTTTTTAATTTAAATTTTAAATAACATTAAAAATTCATTTCTTGGGCCGGCTGGCCGGCCCGTGGCTCACTCAACATCACTAATCATCAAGGAAATGCAGATCAAAACCACAGTGAGTTGTCATCTCACCCCAGTTAGAATGGCTATTATCAAAAAGACAAAAAATAACAAGGGCTGGCCCATGGCTCACTCAGGAGAGTGTGGTGCTGACAACACCAAAGCCACGGGTTCGGATCCCTATAAAGGAATGGCCGGTTAGCTCATTTGAGAGAGAATGGTACTGACAACACCAAGTCAAGGGTTAAGATCCCCTAACCAGTCATCTTTAAATAAAAAAATTTTTTAAAAATTCATTTCTTCAGTTGCACTAACCCCATTTTAAGTGCTCAGTAATCACATGTAGCTAGTGGCTGCCATGTTGAACAGTACAGCTCTGGAGTACTGCTTAATAACCCTGCGATGTTTTGTGCTTATATCACTTCTACAGTTTTCAGCCAGAAAACTGATAACAAAACTTCAGTGGCCACTTTTTTTTCCCCCACGTAGAAATTCATTTTATTGGTCAGACTTATTTTCTTTTCTTTTTTTTTTTTTTTTTTAAAAAAGATGACCAGTAAGGAGATCTTAACCCTTGGCTTGGTGTTGTCAGCACCACGCTCTCCAAGTGAGCTAACTGGCCATCCCAATATAGGATCCAAACCCGTGGCCTTGGTGTTATCAGCACCGCACTCTCCCGAGTGAGCCATTGGCCGGCCCTGGTCAGATTTATTTTCAAAAGAAGCAGTGGTATGCCTTTATAGGGGCTGGCCAGTTTGCTCAGTTGGTTAGAGCACAGCCTTATAACCCCAAGGTCACGGGTTTGGATCCCCTTACCAGATGCCAAAAAATAAAAATATGCCTTTATAGATGTATATATGTATGTTACAAAGTCCATACATATATTTACATGACTGCCACATACAAAATTACACTGTGTACATACATGTCTATAAGTGTGTACTTTCCACTCATCCTGCTGTGCTTTTCCCATGTGAGTGAGGGAGACTGACATGAGGGACGTAGACCGGGTTGGACTAAAGCAACTGCGGGCTGGCCCAGCCCACAGAGCCTCAAAGTTGGGCCTCAGCAGAGCAGGTGGAGCGGCTGCTGAGGCAGGAGCAGAAGCAGCAGGTTGCAGGCCTTGTCCTTCAGCAGATATGGTGGGCTCCCAGCAGCCTTCCCACCATCCACCCTATGATGCTGATGCTGTCCTTGACAGGGGAGTGGCTCATAAACTCCTCTGGGACCATGTGTGGCCTGAACTTGCTTGGCTGGGCCAAGAAGTTGTTAATGTGAGGGGGTTAGGGGACTGTGGGGGGGGGGGAGGAGACCCCTCCCAGCCCCGTGGTCTCCGGCTCAGTTCCTGCCCACAAAGGTGCTCCAGCAGAGGAGCATTCACGTGCTGAGGGCCACTGCCTCCCTAAGCTTATTTTCTGGGCCAGGGACTAGGGAGGGAATGGAGGCTCAGGCCTGGGTTTACTATGCTGCAGGACTAGGCCCCAAGGCACAGGCCTCCTGAGGCATGCAGGGAAGGGTCTTCATTTCTTCTCTTCCCATTTTCCTAAAACCGAGGAGGCAGCAGCACCTCCAGGGTGGGGCACAATCCATAGGGTCTAAGCAGCAAAGCCCAATCAAGGGGCTG